CAGGGGCGTAACTAGAAATCACAGGGCCCCATAGCAAAATTTTGTATGGGGCCCTGTGATTTCTAGTTACACCCCTTGAAGAGCCCACATAGCTCACCTGAGGGTGACCCTGCAGAGCCCACCATAGACTCTATGGTGGGCTCTGCAGGGTCACCCTCAGGTGGGCTGGTCACACTCCTTACCTGTCCGCCTCTTCTTCCTCCGTCTTCCCTCCTCCGTCGCCGGGCACGCTCCGTCCTCCGTCCCTCGCTACGCCACTGAATACAAGCTGCCTATAGGGTCCTATATATAAACCTTCTCCAAAGAAACAACTAGAAACGTAAGTAGTATTTATTTTTTTTTTTAAATAATTGATGTGAAGTATGCTGTGTGAATGGGAACACATAACATATATATAGGCATGTTCTCTAATTCAACTGAAAAAACTCAAAATACGTTTTTAAAGGTGCTTCTACTATTACTTGTCTTCAAATAACGTTCCTGCCACCTAGTGGTCATAAGGGATAAGTGCACCACCAATGGCATGAATATGAATGACCCTTTTCAGTGTGCTTTAATATTAAACATGCCCCTAGGTGGACTGCAGGATTGAAAATGTTAACTATATTTATTCAGTGCCTAGGAGCCTCTAAACGTTGTGGGAATACACCTCTGTAACAGTGAAGTGACTATTTCCTTTTCTATAGTGATGCTTTTTTACATTGTTATACAAAGTTATAGGTATTGTGCTTCCTTAAAAATAACCTTTATCGAGAACACTCAAATTCAACAGTGATATCTGCAGTTTAAAACGAACACTGATATTATTAAAACAAAATGGTCATGGCCAAAATAATACCCCAAAATCAGGTTCCTGGAAAATAAGAGGTATTATAATTATTTCCCTGGTGACCCGTGTCTCCTGCCTCCACTTGGTGAAGCTCTACAGACTCCATCAGAACCTTCATTTGACAATTCAGGGAGTGACGGATGCCCATGTCCCCCGCCCTGCGCTGTGGTTCCATCCTCCGGCCCCTAGTTTACCAAGTAGGATGGAACCTTAGCGAGGGACAGAAGACATTTTTGGAAGTGTCAGATGACGCAGATTCTGGCAGAGGCTGTAGAACAGAGGGACAGTAGGAAACCTGGGCCACCGGAAAGGTAAACACAATACGACTTTGTTTGCAGGGACCTGCTTTTGGAATTTCTTTTTACATAATAGTGTAGATTTAAATACATACATGAGATGATATTTTAGCCAGGGTCCGTATTCTAAGTATCTGTACAGGTTTTAGGAATACTGCTATAGCCTCTGTAAATCTGCAGCTCACCATACACATTACAATCTGACTGTACACTCTGCTTTACATCTACCACTATATAGCGCAAAGGCCTGTTTGATTGGCTCGGTAATACAGCCCCCATTATGTGTATTTCATCTCTGTATAATAAGCTTGGGGTACAGCTTTAATAATTAAACAGAGGACAATTATCACTGTATTTGTTTCCAGATATAAAGTGGTTAATTTGCTATAATGTTTCTGTCATCCTTCACAGGCTTGTACACTCCGGGCCCCCCAAGAGTTCACTGCAATACGACACAGAGCTGGCCTTTGCTCTTCGCTCCGGCACACAGAAGGGGGTGGAAACTCACTTGTTTAGCGTGACAATGCCTAGAGAGCTGGCGGAGTGGACCCGGGCATTAGTAGATGGATGTCACAATGCAGCTGAGCTTATACAAGAGGTGACTACAGGTGAGACAAGTGCAGCTAAAAACAGCCCACACGACTTTTTTATGTTATATTAATCCCTAAAATGCAATGCATATTACTCCAACCATTTTGTATTTAAAGTGCACCTGCATGTTTCCCATACTAGACTTTGAAGAGGGATCCTTTGTCAAGTTGGGCAGGAGGAAAAGCACTGACGTCTAATGATCCCTCCTTTAAAGTCAGTCTGTATGTTTCCATACTAGGCAAGGTAACAGGATGGCTTTAATGGAGGGATCTTTCATCAAGTTGGGCTGGGAATAATGTACATAGCCCTGTTGAAACTTACACAGGAATCTTGGGCAGTCTGGCAGCTGGGGAATGCAGGCAAAGTAGGCACTGACTCCTATTGATCCCTCCTTTAAAGTAAACCTCTATGCTTTCCATACTAGGCAAAGTAACAGGTTGACTTTAAAGGAGGCACCATGAGGAGTCAGTGCTTACTTTTCCTGCATTATCCAGCTGCCAGGCTGCTCAAGATTCCTGTGTAAGTTTAGACAGGACTGTGCCCATTACTCCCAGCACAACCTGAAGAGTGACCCCTCCTTTAAAGTCAACCTGTTACTTTGCCTAGTATGGGAAACATACAGGTACATTTTAAAGGAGGCATCATAAAGGGGTCAATACTTACTTTGCCTGTATTCCTTAATTGCCCAAGATTGTTAGTTTCAACAGGTCTATGCACCTTACTCCCAGCCCAACCTGATAACGCTCGGGCATGGTGATTGGTTTGCTAAATCGTTGAGTGCTGCGTTGTCGGAATCAGGGGAGTGCCACATAGTCTTCCATCAGAGGATCACAGTTCAGATTGCTTGGTGATTGGTTGCTAAATCATTGTGTGCTGCGTTGTCGGAATCAAAGAAGTGCCACATAGTCTTCCATCAGAGGATCACAGATCAGATTGCTTGGTGATTGGTTGCTAAATCATTGGGTGCTGCGTTGTCGGAATCAAAGAAGTGCCAGATAGTCTTCCATCAGAGGATCACAGATCAGATTGCTTGGTGATTGGTTGCTAAATCATTGGGTGCTGCGTTGTTGGAATCAAAGAAGTGCCACATAGTCTTCCATTAGAGGATCACAGTTCAGATTGCTTGGTGATTGGTTTGTTAAATCATTGAGTGCGGCGTTGTCGGAATCAGAGGAGTGCCACATAGTCTTCCATCAGAGAATCACAGATCAGATTGCTTGGTGATTCGTTTCTAAATCATTGAGTGCTGCGTTGTCCGAATCAGGGGAGTGCCACATAGTCTTCCATCAGAGGATCACAGTTCCGATAGCTTGGTTCTTCATCTTTTTCACTTATTTCCAAATCATGTGATCAAACCCTGGAGCAGCATTTCCTCCGAAAAAAGGAAAACTTTTTACGAATTTATTGATCATAGTTTTAAATTCAAGTACGTCAAAAGCCATTTTTTTTTAGTTTTGGATAGATTGAGAAAGGATTCAAACCCCCATCAGAATTGTATTGCTTTCTTTGTCCTTAAATGGGTGTCCAATAGGGAGGAACTCAGGTTGAAACTGAACCCGGTCTGAACCTGAACTCCTCCAAATGCAAAAGGAGCTTGTCTCGCACATAGAATTCACCGCTTGCATCTTGACGTAAGCAAAGGGATGGGGTGCAGTGACGTCATTGACCTTATATTGCCACCTGGCTACATTAAGTGTGACCATATAAGGTCAATAATGTCAACACAAGCATCCCACCTCTTAGTTTATGTGCAGTTGCGGGGCAGGGAATCCCCTGGCCTGCAACTGATTGGGTAAGAGACCCATGGCACTTCCATGTTCAGAAGAGTTCAGGTTTGGGCCAGGTTTCCATCTGAACCTGAGCTCATCCCAAGTGCCCAACAGCCTACCTACTGTAGAGACGTGGATGTCAGAATTAGATAAACGTATTGCTGTTGGAAAAGTCGCATACCAATCCAGAGGAGCTACTGCTAAACCTTCTTTATTATGGAATCTCTGGCTGGACTATAGGTCTCACTTACCGCTGCCTCTGTCTCCTGAACCTCAGGGTTAAGACGGTCCAGCAAATCTTAATTCATCAGCGTCGCAGCCCAAAGAACCCTTTCATGGTCCCCATTTGCGTATCACACAACCACGTGCTGATTCAGTTCAGGACATCAAGGAACACCTTTACATCAAAGCTTTTCCATAGATATTAATTTTATCGGCTCCAACGTCACTCACTAGAGAAAACTACAGGAGGGGCGGATACAAGACCAGTTTTCCTGCACAAGTAGGGAGAGCAGCAGTGACCGGTCTTTCTTGCAGGAAGCTCCTGCACAGATCTGGAGGATATATACAAATCTCACCAAGATTCAAGGAAGAATACTCATGACTCTTGTATTTAGAGATGATTTACTTATCCAGGAGTTTAGCTTTAAAATCTGAGTATAGTTTGATTTGATTAAGGTAGGCAGCACCATTTATTTGATACGATGCTATTGCTAAATATGAATTGTGTGTTTTTATCTACCTAGCCTGCACATGGGGCGGAAAAGAGTGTGCACTCTCTATACACATCGACAAAGGATTCACACTATTCACAGAGGAGCCTGGACTCAACAGAATCGTTCACCTTCATAAACCCTTTGAGAAGCTAAGAATGTCTTCTGACGACGGTGCCAGGATGTTGTTTCTGGACTTTGGCAACCCCGATGGTGAACTTGTACGTAAAGCAAAGAGACAGACCATCAGCTCCTGTTCCTTAACCCTGTTTTAGGTTTTCCTTTATTAGATACACTTTTTTCTTTATAGGTAGCTATGAAGGTAATCACAGTTCATTTAAAAAATATGGGAGTGCTAATAGTTACAGGCAGATCTTTTTCATCTTTGCATACACTTATATTCTGGGATTTAGATCATTTTCTTGGTGGCTTTTTACTACAGTTGCTTTTTCTTTCAGCAACTCTTCAGCTCACGACCTGTAATGTCAGAGAAATGTGCCTTCTATGGTTGCAAAGCTTTATATAAAATATCATCAAAACATGTAAAAATATGAAAATGGTGGCAAATATGAATATACAATGAAATTCAAGAGACATTGATACACATTAAGTAACAGTTTTTCCTGATAGCCTACCCACCCAGCTAGGTATACTCACCAGTCTATGATACCTCACCACCTTCCTGTTCTGTTTCCGTAATGGAGTAGAGCTTCAGGGAATGGGGGAGCATATTACCTCTCCCATTCCAATCACAGGGTCTGAAGACCCTGTCATTTGAAAGGGCAGTGACTTCATCCACTCAAGTAAGCTCCAACACCATGCAAGATCTGAACCTACTCAGTGTGGACATCAATGTATGTGGCAGGGGAGTATGGCTTGTTCAATATACCTTGCTGATGGTGGGAAGGGTAGGCTATCAAGTAGCACCTATACTCTGTCCTGAATTCTGCAGGTGAAAGTACCTTTTTAATGGACCCTTCAATTTCCCCAGTGCTCTCTGTAATTCAATGCCATATAACCTAGCATTAAGGCTACTCCTATGGTAATGTTACATGGCATGCTGAGTGATGTCACTGATATAGTTTGCTACTAGACCACTTTGTAAAAGTGGTCAGTACATCCATTTTTTTTTAGTAGATGTAGAGTAGAACCACCTGGCAGCTTGGTATATCTCTCATGGACTCTGTTGATGAGGTCTCCTCATTGAGTTTCTGGGTCTGTATGCCTGCTATGTCCTTTATGATGGATGTCCACTTTCCCTGTTGGGTTTTTATTTATTTGACATTATGGATTATGTAACAAGAAGAGCTGAAACACATAAAAGTGGGCAGGAACACCCAAAAGTCCCAGGTGTACAGGTACAGAGGCAGGAATCCTGGCAGAAGGATCTTGTTAACACTTTAAAGTTAAAATAGCAAGTCCCAGAAGAAGGCACATACTTATGTCTACTCATACCTCCAGTTTTCATGAGAAAGGCTGCTGTGTGCCCATGTAGCCCCAAACTCAGGTGCTCACTGTTTTGACTTAAGCTCCTTAAAAAACCTTTGGCCCACCCCAGCATTCCATAATGCAACACAATGTTCAGTAAAGAGTCTCCTACTTTGCATTGTGGGATAACTGGAGGGTGAATAAGAGCTTTAATATTAGAGCTCAATTCATGCTTTGGCTACATGCTGTGCTCCATTTTTGAGGCTCCCTGGTCCCACTGAAGCCATACTGTTGACAGGTGGTGGGATAGTATGGCTTTACATATTCACCAAAGTCCAAGAAGGACATGTCACAGCATGTAGCCCACGTAGACCCAAACTCAGCTGCTCACTGTTTTGACTTAACAGAACTTTGGCCCACCCCAGCATTCCATAATGCAATGCAATGGCCAGTAAAGAGGTTCCCACTTTGCATTGTGGGTTAACTGGAGGGCGGGTGAGAGCTTTGATATTAGAGCCCAAGTCATGCTTTGGCTACATGCCTTGCTCCAATTTTGACTCTCACTGGTTCCACTGAAGTCATCCTGTTGACTGATGGAGGGCTTTACATATTCACAAAAATCCAGGAAGGACATGTCACAGTACTGTAAGTTGAAGAACATGGGCATGAGGGAACCATAACTCATATTATAAACCTCTTTTATTTGCTATAAGCACACCACATGGCCTAAAATTTGTGGAAGCCTGACAATCACACCTATAAATGATTGTTGGACATCCAATTGTGAAACCATGGGCATTATTATGGAGTTGGCCCGCCTTTGTGGCTATAAATGTCTCCTCCTCTGTCTGTGGGAATTTGTGCCCATTCAGCCAAAAAAGCATTTGTGATGTCATCTACCGATGTTGTTTGAGGAGACCTGACTCGAAATTGGCATTCCAATTCATCCCAAAGGTGTTCAATACGCTTGAGGGCATGGCTCTGGGCCAGGCCACTCAAATTCCTCCACCCCAAACTCATCAAATCATTTATTTTTGAACCTGGCTTTGTTCACCTGAATAATTTTGAGGGGTGTCCACATATTTGTAGCCGTGTAGTGTAGCCACCATGACACAATAAGACCCCTCCATCTGTTGGTATGTTTCATACTTTTGAGGACTCCCTACATTACAATTTGTTTAATCACCTTTATTATTTTTTTTTTCCATTCAGCAACTGGATCTTCATTCTTGCCCCAAAACCATCGTCTTCATCATTCACTCGTTCTTGTCAGCCAAGATGTCTCGCATGGGTTACCTACCATAAAGAAGAGCTCCGGGGATGTCCTACAGAGAACCAAAGTAGTACATGCACTAATCCACTCATAAATGAAAAGATCTTCTTGGGTTGCCATAGCCATCCCGGAAACAACTGTCAGCTCTGAAATAGCCGCTGCCACAGTTGTTGCTGTGTAATACGATACACTTTAACCCTGTGTTATCTGGTGCCAATACCTCTCACAGCAACGTAGTGCCTTACATGTAGTTTTATGTAACGGTTTGATGCACAGATATGAAGAGAGCAGGCACTTTATCGTTCCTGTTTCATCAAGAAGGAGATCTCGGTGCCTTCAGCTGTTTTCTTCAAACGTTGTAGATAGAGCTGTAATATACAACACTGGGTCCTAAGCTGTATTCTTATTTCTACATCTGACTTAAAACATTTTTTTTTGTGCGTTATAATTATATATATATATTATATATGTATATTCATAAGAAGAATTCAAATAAGATATATTTAGTTTTTAGTAGAGTTGGAAAAAAAAAGAAATTGATGAGATGGTGTCTGTTTTGTTATTCCACATTGGTCTAAAGCTGGTCATACACCTATTGCTTATCTGCAGAGTTTCTATGGTCAGATGGAAAAATTGTAACAGATTCCTCATCTATGCTAAACTGTGTGGATGAAGGAATCTCCCGGTGGGCCAAGCTTCAGTATCTTGCTAGTCGGCCCCGCTGGCTCTCAAAATACCTAAACAATGCCTGCATCCAATCAGATTGTTCAGGTACTTTGACAGCCAGCGGGGCCGACTAGCAAGATACTGAAGCTTGGCCCAGCGGGAGATTCCTTCATCCACACAGTTTAGCGTAGATGGAGGAATCTGGAGAAAATCTGCAGATAATCTATAGGTGTATGGCCAGCTTAAGCGAGACTGTAATGGCGTGGCAGCTCTCCATTGGCTGCAAAATATTTGTGTGCCATCAATAGTTACCCTCTGGTTAAATGGGGAACATGGAACCGATTTTAAGGCATTGCATTATCACAGAGTGTGCCAATTTAAGGTGCTAGCTTTTGTCCTTTTTGATGGTGACGCAACTTCTTCATGTGTTCAGGCCAAGGATACGCCATAAAGACGCTCTGTTACTTTTTAAATGTATTTTTTTCCATGAATCAGTGTGAGCCTTTCAAATTCTATAATAAACTTTATAAGTCAGGAACATCTTTCCATTCAAATAATTGGTTGGGATTTTGACTGAATTTGGCCTGTATTAACTTTACATCAACCTTCCTATTGTATGTTTCCCCTTCAGCAAGCACAATGAATACATTAAATGAAATGGACATTGGGCCAAAGCTGCCTGGGTATCGCAATTTCACAAGTTGCATCAGATCCTTGACACTGTCACCTTGCTCATTCAGGGTAAAGTGACAAAACCTAACATAGCATAAAAACCAAAACACTCTATCTGTATTTTATACACTTCTTAGAAAATATGGCAGCTGGAATCTGATTTCTTAATAATGGCAGCACCCCCTTTTTTTAACTTTGCTTTTGCACATTTGAGGTCTTCTCTATTGACCAGTATATACTAGCATAGGCCCGTAGTCAGGTCTGAGAGACAATTGAATGTTCAGTCTACCCCATCCCAACACTTCATGACAGGCTACAGTATTAAGCGTCACCTTTACTTAAAGAGTACCTAAAGCCAAAACTTTTAATCCAACTTGAAATAGAGCAGGGAATGGGAAAACAAACTACTTTTTTTCCCCTCAGTGTAAAAAGAGTGTATACCATAAGCTTGAGACTCGAAGGACTCGAAGGAAAACTGCTTAGTTTACAACTGGAACGAAACCAAATATTATTTGTTAAATTGCTGCTCTCTGTATCCCTATTGGGAGAGATTTCCACCACTTCCTGTTGTCCCTAAAACAGGAAAATGAGGGCACATCTCTCCAGTGGGGAAACAGCAATAGATTTTTTTAGTAGAAAGACGTAGAGCACTTATCAGGTTTTATTTGATGTTTATTTCCTTATTTCCTCATTGATTTTCCCCTACTTCCTGTCTCAATGAGACTGGTCACTGTAAGAGGAAGTGAGGCGAATTCTTTGAAATGGTGTCTATCCCTTGCCCAAAACTTAAAAATTGTTGACATTACATTATAGTGTAAGTTTATGCCTTTTACGTACATTTATAAGCTGATAAGCCATCACACCCCAGCTCTATCCCTTGCCTTTAGGTAGAAATGTTGGCAGACACCAAGTCTGCTGTCTGAAAGGGAAGTGCCTGTGTTGCCTATAGTAGCCAATCAGGTCTGTCTATATTTTAGGATGAAACTGAAAAAGAAGTGTCTGGCTGCTGTGGACAACTTAAGAACTTTTCTTATGATCTTTGTATACATCGCACCCACTATGTTCTCATGATATTGATCCTGACCATCACCAAATGTGTCTTTTCTGAACCAAATGGAGACTGCACAATATTTTAACTATTTTCTGGTTTGTTAGAATAAAGCCAATAATAAAATAGATTATAATGTCTTCTGAGCCATCAGTCCTTATTCTACAGGATGGTCTGAAACTGTATGTTGGGTGTCAGGACTGGCTTAATACACTCGAAGATCTGAACTACAGAACACACCACTCACTCCCCAGTATCCGTGTCACCAGTGAGATCTGAACTACAGCACACACCGCTTACTCCCCAGTATCCGTGTCACCAGTGAGATCTGAACTACAGCACACACTGCTCACTCCCTAGTATCCATGTCACCAATAAGATCTGAACTACAGAACACACCGCTCACTCCCCAGTATCCGTGTCACAAGTAGGATCTGAACTTCAGAACACAGCGCTCACTCCCCAGGTATCCATGTAACCAGTGCACACAGCTCACTCCCCAATATACATGCAACCAATGACATTTGCACTCCAGTGCACAGAATTCACTCCCCAATATTCATGTAACCAGTCACATCTGCACTCCAGTGCACACAGCTCACTCCCCAATATACATGTAGCCAGTGAGATCTGTACTACAGCACACACATCTTAATCTCCAGTATCCGTGTCACCAGTAGGATCTGAACTTCAGAACACACCGCTCACTCCCTGGGTATCCATGTAACCAGTGCACACAGCTCATTACCCAATATACATGCAACCAGTGACATCTGCACTCCAGTGCACACAGCTAGAGCACACACAGCTCACTCCCTAGTATCCATGTCATCATGGAGATCCACACTACATCACACACAGCTTAATCCCCAATATCCATGTAACTGATGAGATCTGATTTTTTTTCTAACAACTAAGATCAGCCACACAGGGAGTGCATTGTTTTCATTGGGTCACTTGACTTGCATTGTTAGAAGAAGCAGTACAGCACAACCATGATGTAGCACTGCAAACTAGGATGCACAAATAGGGTTCATAT